GTCCTCCTCCCCTCCTGTAGCACTGGCTGCTGATGTGCCCTCTCTTTCCGCATTCGTTGCAGGTGGGGGCTTTGGGGCAGTTTCTCTTGAAGTGACCCATCTGCCCGCAGTGGTCACACTTGATGCCCACCCCGCAGTCCTTGCGCAGATGCCCAACTTCTCCGCACTTGTGGCAGCGACGCTCGTCTCTCGGTCTCTCCTGCTTTTCTTCTTCTGACCGCCGTGCTTCGGTCGCCGACCACATCGGCCTTCTCCGTTCTGCAGGCCTCCGAGCTCCCCTCATCATATCCACATATCGCCTACCTTCTTCTGCCTCTTTAGCAATCTGGTATACCTGCCTTAGCGTGGCTCTAGATCGGATTGGGTATAGTGCGCCCCTCATCTCATTAACTAATTCTTCTTCTAACCCCCCCAAGAACTTCGTGACCATGAGACGGTCTTCCAGACAGCTAAGGTCCTCTGATAACTCCACCAGCCTATTATAATACGCCAGCAGTGATTCCCCTCTGCTTCTCCTAAACTCGCTGAACTCTGCTACCCTCTCGGCAGTGTCGCCTGGGAATTGCTCACGTAGGATGTCGTAGAATTCGTCTATCAGCCTATGAGGTGGGATTTCCCCCCGCTCACACCGTCGTAACAATCTCGCCCGCTCCACTCGATAGTGCGTCTGCGCTTCCCCTCGCAGTGTCTTTCCCAAGCCCCTAAAGAACTCCACTGCGTCCAGCCCTTCTCGATCCCAGTAGTAGCGTATGTCTTCAATCAGCATGATGTAGTTTTTCAGAGACGGTTCTTCGCCTAGCTCACCAGAAAATCTCTCTGGTACCTCGATCTTAGGTATGCTGGCTGCTGCAGTTCGTCCGCTCTCCCAGGAACTCGTTCTTCCGGCTTCGCCCGCGACGTATCTTCCGGCTGCCCGCTCTGGCATAGATCTCGGTCCCTGCTCCTTCGACGATTCATCCTGCTGTCTTTCGTCTTCTTTTCCCGTTTCCTCTTGCTCCCGCGGTCCTCCTCCGCGCCACAGCGCTTCTCTGCTCATATTTTGCCCGGATCCGTCGCGCGTCCGCGGATCGGGCGAGCTGACGCTTTCCCCGCGCGGATCCCGTCCGGATCCGCCGTGATTCCGCAGGTCTGACGGATCGATGTCGTCTCCGCGTGTGCCCCCTGCTCTCGCTGCCGCTGAAGCATCCGCTTCACGTTCGTCGGGCTCATGCGGTCCTGCATGGTACACCGGCCGCAGAGGAGGCTGCACATCCTCCCCCACGCTCCTCGCTGGATACCTCGTTCCCGATCTGAGACGACGTCCCTCGAGACTCGTTTCCCGACTCATCGCTGCGCGCGTCGCAACGCGCCCTTCGCGCCCCCTTTTTCTCGCTGCATGTTACAAGCCTCTTCCTGGTTGCTCAGATCCACGTGGGACTGAATTCCCGGACTGCGGGACTCTAGAAGGCATAGAGTGTGTTTGCAGTATAGTAGGAAAACATACAGCGAGAAATGATAAGCCTACTGAGTCCCGATCTATTTACACTTCACTCTCCCCTGCTACCTTGCCTACCTCCCTTCCCCTCCTTGGGAACTGAGATTCCCTGGTCCCTACCCTTCGTCAGATGGGGCTATAGCTGACGTCCCTTTCCCCCCCCCCCACACCTCATCCCTGCTCGCGCCCCGAAAATTGGAAGGTCCCATTATCCCCGCGCCTCGATCCCTGAGCTCCTTCATATTTTGTTCAGTACAGTACTGTACATCTTTCTCCCGTATTTTATGTTTCACTTATGCAGGCTAACTATTTCTTCTCATGATTCTCTGCTCCTCTTACCTCTTCCTTTGCTGCTGTGTTACCCGTGGAGAGGCTCATGCCTTTTCATGGGTAACGCGACAGCCGCCCCTAGCATGCCGGCCCCTTGCTCGCCGGCCCATAGCTCGCTGGCCCTGCGCTCGCCGGCCCCGCGCTCGTCGGCCCCCGGCTACGCCGACCCCAGCTTCGCCAGCCCCAGCTCCGCCAGCCCCAGCTGCGCCGGCCCCAGCTGCGCCGGCCCCCAGCTCCGCTAGTCCAAGCCCAAACCGCCATGCCGGCCCTAGCTCGCGCCGGCCCTAGCTCCCGTCGAGCCGCGCCGCCGTGCCGCCGAGGCGCCAAGCCTCCGAGCCACAGTGCCGCAGTGTAGCTGTGTCGCTTAGCCGACGAGCCGCTCTGCCGCTCTGACTTGCTGGCCTTGGTTCCCCTCTGCGATGGCGCTCCCGCCGGCTGTCTCCACGGCACTCCACCGCTCTCCACCGCTCTCCACCGCTCTCCACCGCTCCGCAACTCTCCTCCCACCCTCCAGCGGCAGTCAACTGCTGCAGCCGAGGTTGTGAGAGTACGACCCCGCTCCATTCCTTTCTCCTTTTTATCTTCCCTTTCCATTTCATTCCTCTTTTTATCCTGATTCATTTGGTCTCCATTTCATTCCATTTGGATTCTTATTCCTCGTTTTCCATAATCCTTTGGTTTATCCTGTTCTTATAATTATATCACCAACCAGGCTCGAGATGTACTAGTACGCTATATCTAGCGTAATCCTGCCGTAATCCCTTAAAGCCAATAGCCTCGCTTGGCTATACGCAGGGTGATTCTATTTTCTAAAAGGGTCTATTCCCTTAGGATAAGATATACCTGGTTACCTGATGTACTTTGGAAGTATAAAAACGCCTTGTATCAATCTATAGTGCAACTTTTCCTCGACACATTCCATCCTGTAACACTTGGTAATCAGAGCTTTTCTCACTCGGCCGCGCTCAGCTAAGCAGCAGCAGCGGGACTCCTGCCTCGAAAAACCGCCGAAGGCGACCAATTCGACGCCGATTCTGGGAAGCACCAGCTCCGCGTTTTTTCGAATTACCCCCTCCGCGCGTGTTTTGAACAGGATGGCAAACTTCGACAACGCCGAAGTTACCCAGCAGCTCTTCGCAAGCATCGCCGCCCTACAGGAGGAGATGCGAGCCGACCGCGAAGCTTGGCGAAACGAGTTCAAGCGAGTAACTCGACTCGCCGGCGCGCAACACGAAACGACAACGGCGACGATGCAGCAATTTCTCGAGGCTCCGAAGCCGCGCCCACCTGAGCCGTTCGATCTGAGAGATCGAAATTCCGCCGTCCGCAGATGGATCGCCGGCATGGAGATCTACTTCGCAGCCGTCGGATGGAGCTCGCCAGTCTGGGACGGTCAACGCGTATGACTCGCGGCGACACTGATGCGAGGGCCGGCACTCGAGTGGCCACGGTCAAGCCACGTGGCAGCAGTTCCGCGCCAACCTGCTGAAACGTTTCGAGCCGATAAATTCAAGTTTCCTTGCCCGGAAAAAATTCATCGCCATCGACAGTTCGGGAGTGTGGCACAGTACACGCATCAGATGGAAGAATTTTATAACCGCATTCCTAATCTGACCGAAGGGGAAAAAGTACAGTCGTACCTCGCCGGGCTGAAGACCGAAGTCAAACGACAAGTAGCAGCGACAAACTACGCGAGCTACAGTGACGTCGTATCGGCCGCGGAACGCTTTGAGTTTGTCAACGCCGGGACACGACGGGCGCACGTCGGCAGTACGCGACAGGGTGACCGCTCGGCTCACCCCACATTCGCCGACCCGATGGAAGTCGACAGGTTCGAAGGGCGGCCACGTCCGAAAAACACCAACAACTTCACGTGTGATTTTTGCGGGGGGCCGGGTCATCGAATCTTTGACTGCAACAAAATGAAAGACGCACGCGCTGAGTATCGGGCACGCAATAGTGGTGGAAATCCTTTAGCCAATCATAAGACAAAAAACAGAGCTCGCCAGTGATTGCGGATCTAGCTGGCGAAAAGAAAAGATCCGAAAGCGGCCGCGGACTTTAGGAAAAATCAAATTCGACGCAGCTGATTCGACGCGAACAGGAGAAAATGATGGGGAAAAATCTCCACCCCACGACCAGTCTTCGCCAGGGAAAATCGCCGAGAAAAAATCTGACTCCGCGAAAAAAGACTCTGCCGAGACGGGGAAACTCCTTGAAGACCCAAGAAATTATCAGGATTCGTTAAATTTATTTTATAAAGATGCTTTAATGAAAACTTATGATTCTTGAGGGGCTAGAGCCTTGGAGAAATTTTGGAAGGGACTCCAAAAGAAGCAGAAAATTTTGGAGATCGTACCTGTACCAGAGAACATGGGGACCAAATTAAGGAGTGTGGAAAGAAGCCGACCTTTCCACGGAGTCAACGTCCTCTCCCGACACCAGCCCACAACGACTACCAGTTCCCCAGGGAAGACGTCGGTGAAGGTGAGGCAGCTCAAGAGGAAGCTGGGGGTCTACAAGAAGCTGCAAAAACCCTGAACTCCTCCTTCGGATGCATCCAACTCGGCAACTTCGTCAACGACACGAACAGTCGTCACGGAAACTCCGGGCCCTGGAGGAGAGCCTTTCTCCAAGCAGCCTCGTCTAGCTGCCAGCTCAGGAATAGATAGCAACACAAAGGTGTGTACGGAATATTGGGATGTACCCTATGATCCTATTGATGAAACTAGCAACGCCTGCCCCTCGTGCTCGAGGTCATCTGCAAAGGACGACGCCTCCAAGCACTCGTGGACAGCGGAGCATTGTACACCGTATGCGACAAGGCAACCATCGACCAACTTCGAGAAGAGTGCAAGCCATCGGCGTTTTCTGCAACAATGGTGGACGGCAGCAAGTTACCAGTGTACGGCGAAGCAGTGTTACACCTACAAATCGGACCACTGCACTGGTGAACTGCTCTCCCCATCACCAACATAAAAGGGCTTCAGGCGAGACTTTCTCAAGAAATTTAACCCCAAGATCAACTAGGTAAACCGCACCGCAAGCATCTACAACAAAGAAAGGAGAGTCCAGCTACCCAACTGGGACGATACAGGAGATATCCCAGTAGAGACACTCGCCAGGTTCGAGAAGGACGTGAAACAAACCAACACCCGATTTTTGGCAATAGCAACAGAGGTGGAGAATGACGGAGAGAAAGCCTCGGAAACACCAGAAAAAATCAAGGACATACTGAAGGAGTTCCAAGACATTCTTCCCGACGACCTCTCGGACGAGATACCGCCATACCAAAGAAAACAACACGAAATCGTAGAGGAACCAGGTTCGAAACCGACCTTCCGAGCACCATATCGGCTAATCCCCATAGAACTAGCCGACATGAAAAAGCAGATCGAGTATCTCCTCGCCAAAGGACTCATCCGACCATCCACTTCACCATACGGTGCCCCAGTACTCTTCACACCGAAACCGGACGGAAGCCTGTGCATGTGCATCGACTACCGAGCTCTCAACAAGTTGACCATCTAGAACAAGTACCCGATTCCACGAATCGATGACCTGCTTGACCAGCTTCGGGGAGCCACGGTATTTTCAAAATTAGATCTGCGGTCCAGATACTGGCAGATACGAATGGCGGACGATTCCGTTCACAAAACTGCCTTTCGAACTCGGTACGGGTCGTACGAGTATCTGGTAGTGCCGTTCGGACTCACCAACGCATCTGGAACGTTCCAAGCAGAAATGAATCACGTCCTACGCCCACTCCTGGACGAGTGTGTGGTGGTGTACTTGGATGACATCCTCGTCTATTCGCGCGACATGCAACAACACGTCGAACACCTGCGACGCATCTTCAAGATTCTTCGACGAGAACGCTTCTACGTCAAAATATCCAAGAGCGACTTCGCCCTCGAGAAAGTCCAATTCCTCGGACATATCGTAAGCGCTCAAGGAGTTCACGTCGACCCCAAGAAAATCGAAGCCGTGCGTACGTGGAAAACACTCGAGAACATGAAGGAGTTACAGTAGTTCCTAGGCTTTGCTAACTACTACAACAGGTTTGTGCCACAATACGCGAAGATCGCCGCGCAACTCACGATCTGCTGAAGATGAACACGCCCTATAACTGGGAACCAAGACATCAGGAAGCCATGGAACAGCTAAAACAAGCACTCACGTCCGCACCAGTACTCATCTTGCCAAACCCCGAACGCGACTACATCATCGAAGCTGTTACCAGCGACCAGGCAGTGGGAGCAGTCTTGATGCAAGACCAGGGGAATGGACTGCAACCAATTGCCTACCTCAGCAAAAAATTACACGGGGCAGAACTCAACTACTTAATACACGACAAAGAGGCCCTTGCTATCATCATCGCCTTCAAAACGTGGAGATGTTATCTCAAAGGACGCAAAACAACAGTCTACACCGACCATTGCAGCCTAAAATATTTGAAAACGCAACCAAGCCTCTCCAGACGACAGGTTCGGTGGATCGACTTCTTCAAGACGCACTTCCACTATGACATCGTGTACAAGCCTGGCCATAAAAACAAAGCAGATGTGCTTAGCCGGCCTGCACACGTTGCCGCTATCCAAATTGAAGGGATGAATCCACTCCTCAAAGGACTTTTCACACACGGGTACACCATCGATCCCGAAATTCCCTTCGCAGAAAAGCGACATCCGCTACAGTGGGACAACGATATCGCGTACCAGAAAGGATCTACGAAAATCTGGGTACCTAATTACCCTCCATTGCGCCAGTTACTACTGGAAGAATACCATGACGTCCTGTACGCAGGACACTTCGGTAGCAACAAGACGGTCACCGGTATCGCCAAACACTACTACTGGCCCCACATTTTAGATGACGTGCAGAAATTCGTCACCTCATGCCCTACATATCAGCGGATGAAGAGCAGCAAGCAAAAAAAGGCGGGTCTACTAGAGCCTCTTCCTGTCCCAGAACAGCCATGGCAAGTGGTCAGCCTAGACTTCATTACCGGGCTACCAACTACCACAAGCGGTCATGACGCGATCCTCACCGTCATTGACAAGTTCTCCAAAATGAGACACTTCATCTCGACACACACGACAACACGCACCGAAGAGACAGCACAACTCTTTGTTCGCTACATCATTTCACAACATGGCATTCCAGCCACACTCATCTCAGACCGAGACCCTAAGTTCACCAGTAAATTCTGGAAAGAACTGATGTCTTTACTCGGAACCAAACTCGCCATGTCATCTGCATACCATCCGCACACAGACGGACTGACCGAGCGTTTTAACCAAATTGTAGAGCAACTACTGCGAGCAGCCTGCAAGGACAAAATCTCCAAATGGGACTTGCATCTGCCCGTACTGGAGTTTGCCTACAACAATGCTACTCACTCCGCTACTGGACAGACGCCATTCTTCCTCTGTTATGGACGCCACCCACTCACACCTCAACAGCCAAACATACCAGCCACAGTCCAACCCACTCATGATTTTATCACGACACAAACATTAAGATCGGACCCACAAGCGCCTATTCGCCATTTAGCAACAACAGAAGCGCCAGGCCAATCGCCACCGCACAGACCACACCATCACCGTGGGAGACCGAGTACTGCTCGACACGCACAATCTTGACATCAGCCATCTCCCATCCAAACTGTGACCTCGTTTCTGCGGGCCTTTCCTCGTTGAAGCACAAGTCACTCCTGTTACCTTCCGCTTATGCCTGCCAGCTACCTGGAAGATTCACAACGCCTTCCATGTCCAACTCTTGAAGCCCTACCGAGATCCCAACACGATCTTCTCTGAACGCCAACCGCCGCCGCCGCCGCCCGTCCTCGTCCATGATGAACCCGAGTACGAGGTCGAGTCCGTGCTTGCTCACTGCCGACGACGGAATGGCAACGTGGAGCTTCTCATCCGTTGGAAGGGTTATGATCCTTCAGAGGTTAGCTGGGTCTCTGAATCCGAGATGGATAACGCTCGTCGTTCTCTTCGCGACTACCTTGTCAAGCAGGCTGTTACGTCTACCACCCAGCTTTGAGGGGGGGAAGTGTGAGAGTACGACCCCGCTCCATTCCTTTCTCCTTTTTATCTTCCCTTTCCATTTCATTCCTCTTTTTATCTTGATTCATTTGGTCTTTATCTCATTCCATTTGGATTCATATTCCTCATTTTCCATAATCCTTTGGTTTATCCTGTTCTTATAATTATATCATTGACCAGGCTCGGGATGTACTGGTACGCTATATCTAGCGTAATCATGCCGTAATCCCTTAAAGCCATTAACATCGCGTGGCTATACGCAGGGTGATTCTATTTTCTAGAAGGGTCTATTCCCTTAGGATAAGATAGACCTGGTTACCTGATGTACTTTGGAAATATAAAAGCGCCTTGTATCAATCGATAGTGCAACTTTTCCTCGACACATTCGATCCTGTGACAGAGGTGATGGTGGACTCTCTGCTTAGCCTGGACGCGGAGGGTCGGGCAGTTGACTTTGAAGCGAAGCTCGTCAACCTCCGCCGCCAGCTGACAGGTCAGCGCCAGGACGGCCATTCACTGGCCGTCCATGTCGAAGTTAAGCTCCCCTTCCTCGACGCGCCTGCTGCCCTCCCTGACGCCCCTACGTCTACTGAGCGTGAGGCCATTACCTCTGCTGAGCTTGCTCGTGCTATCAGGGAGTCGCGCAACGCAGTGGCACAACTTGCTATTAGTTACGCTCTTCCCTTGTCTGAGCGTCCCCGCTTTACCGCTTTAGCGAATGCGAAGGAAAACTTAGATGCGGTCATTGCGCGCTATTCCACTCCCTCCTCCGCCTTTGCCGACCGCCTGATCCCCCCCATGCTATTCCCTGATCTTGCTTCCTTCCCCACTATCGCTGATCTTGCCACTCATCTCCGCACACTTCAGACTAGCTACCATGCTTCTAGCACTGAGGCACAGCTCACGGCATTCCCGCCGCCGCTTTGCGCTACCCTTTACCTCATTGCTACGCGCCTTCCTGACCGCCTTGCCACTGCCCGCAACGACTTCCTTAGTCAGCACACAGGTGACCTCACCTTTACCGCCTTTGTCACCGCCCTATCCGCGATAGAGACCCACCAGCACACTATCGCTCAGTCTAGCAGTACTGCGGCGGTCCCTATCTTACAAGGTTGTGCTCCCACCCAGTGCACTTACTCTGATGTTTCTGCCGCTCTTGCTAAGACAACCTCTGCTGCTGAGACCGCCGCCGCAGCCTACAAGTGCAGCCGCGTCAGATAAAGGGCCGCCGCCCCAAAGGGGGGCGTGGCGGAGGGAAGGGTGGCGCAGGTAGTGGGGGTGGCGGAGGTTGCGAAGGTGGCGGAGGTGGGGGCGAGGACAGTGGTGCAGACGAGGGGGCTGGGGCTGATGCCCCAGAGCATCAACAGCCTCAGCAGCAGCAACAGGAGTCGCCATGGGGACCCCCGCCGCCTTGGTGGCCTGGCGGCACTAGTGGTGGTCGTCGTGGAGGTGGGCCGCGCATCTCGTTGTTGGGTGGCGGCTCCAGTGTGGTGACCTGCCAGTACCAGCTTCAGTCTGGCCCCCGCCACGGCACCGTCTGCCACCATCTCGGTCACACCGCCGCCCGTTGCTATCGCCGCCTCGACGACCTCTTCCGTTTCCGCTACGGCCCCACGTCGGACCCCCCTGATTGGTAAAGCCTGGTGCGTCACCGTGTGCCTGTGTTTGAGCTTAACATGGATCAGATTAGGTCTGCTATGTATGTCATGTATGCTGATGACTCTAGTGTGACTAGACCATATTATCCAGTGTTGCCTAGTGTAGGTGTGTCCACTCTGTGTAGCCTAGATTCCCCTACTGCGTCAGGCGTAGGATCACTGGCCTTGTTTAGCCTCGACTCCACTCTAGCTCCTCCACCTGCGGCTGCTTATGCCGCGCTCTCTTTCATGCTAGACTTTGGTGCGTCCACCTGCTTCTTTCGCGACCACACTACGCTCACGCCGGTTGCCGCTGTAGCGTTTGCTGACCCCTCCTCAGGTTTGGTAGTTGCACGTAGCTCCACTACCCTTCCCTATCCGGTGGTTCCCTTGGGCTCTCTTACAGGCATGCACATCCCCCCGTTCTCTAGGAACCTAGTTGGTGTCGGCTGTCTTCAGGACCTCGGCATCACCCACCACGTTTCCTGGACACGAGCGGTACACGGTCTATACCGAGGCCGCCGCTGGTGCCCCCCTCACCACGTTCCCCCGGGGCCTGGTGTTTGGCCTATTCACGCTAGACACTGCGTCCCCCTCGGAGGGGGCGTCCCCCAAGGTGGCTGCATCTACCCTGGTCGTTGCGGCTTGCTCATGTCGGTCGCTCACCCACTCGTCGCTGCTGTGGCACCACCACTTCGGTCACATGTCCCATCACGATCTTGTCTTAGGCATCCATGCGTCGCTCCCTGCCCTCCCTCCCTTGCCTGCACCACCGTGCACGCCCTGCGTCGAGGGCCGGCTGCGCCATACTCCTCACTCCTCCTCGCTTCCCCCTACGACTACACCACTCCAGACCCTGCACTTGGACGTCTGGGGCCAAGCCCCCGTCCCCGGGCCGCATCGAGAGCACTACTTTCTAGTGCTTGTAGAAGACTACACGTGCTGCACCATGGTGTTTCCCCTGGAGCGTCAGGCCAACGTGCCTGATGTCTTTATCCCGTGGATCATAGCTGCACGAGTCCACCGCGTCTCCACTCCGACCCTGGTGGCGAGTTTGCCTCCGGTCGGCTTGGCCAGTTTTGTCGTGCGGAGGGCATCACCCAGTCGTACACCTTGCCGGACTCCCCGCAGAAGAATGGGGTCGCTGAGTGACGCATCGGTTTGGTCATGGAGGTGGCTCGTACCTCCATGATCCATGCCAATGCACCCCATTTTCTGTGGTCGTTTGCTGTTCGCTACGCCGCTCACCAACTTAACCTATGGCCAAACTCCCAGCGGCCGACCCTCCTCTGGACCGGGTCCCCTGGTGACGCATTTGCGTTCCACGTCTCGGGCTGCCTTGCTCACGTTTGTGGCTCTGGCATGGACAAGCTCAATGCCCGCACCGTCCCTTGTGTCTTCCTTGGTTTCCCCTAGACGCGTTTGACTGGCACTTTTACCATACGCTGTCTCACCATTTCTTTCACTCTTATGACGTCACTTTTGACGATTCTGTCTCCTTCTGTACCCACTTTCCCCACTGTGGTCTCCCGGTTACCTCGCCCGGTTCCTGGATCTCACCCCCCCAGTAGCCTTTGTTCCTCTCCCTCCTCGGCTTGCCCCGTCTGGTGTGTCTCACGTCACTCTCCTCCCGTTTGTTGTCCCGGTAGAGGAGTCGGCTGACTCTGGGTGCCCTGCGGCTCCGTTCTCACCGCCTGTCTCCGCCCCGGTGTCTCCTTCGCCGTCGCAGCAGCTGCCACCGTCGCCGCCACAACAGCAGCCGCAGTCGCCGCCGCCACAGCCGCAGCCGCCGCAGGGGTCCACGAGCTCTGGGGGTGCGGGCGTTGAGGAGGGTGCTAGTATTGGGGTTACTGTCGTGGCTTCTCCGGGCGGTCCAAGGGGTGGCACCGGTGCTGGAAAGGGTTCTCGTTCTAGGGGTGCTGGTTTTTGGGGTGGTAGTGCTGGTTTTTGGGGTGGTAGTCATGTGGCCGCGCTCCCAGCGGCCGCAGGTTTTGCCGACCCTTCTTTGAACCGAGTTCCTCGGTGACGCGTCTGCATTCCACGTCTGGGGCTGCCTCGCTCAAGTTCGTGCCTCTAACACGGACAAGCTCACTATACGCACTATCCCCTGTGTCTTCCTCGGTTTTCCCCCTTGACTCGTCTGAATGGCACTTTTACCACCCACTGTCTCACCACTTCTTTCAGTCTCGTGACGCCACTTTTGACGAGTCTGTCTCCATTTACCACCGCTTTTCCCACCGAGGTCTCCCAGTTTCCCCTTCCCTGTTTCTAATTCCCACTCCCCCGGTAGCTCTTTCTCACCCCCCTCCTTGTCCTGCTCCGTCTAGTGTGTCTCACGTCACTCCCCTCTCGTCGGTTGTCCCGGTCGAGGAGTCGGCTGACTAAGGTGGCCTCGCGGCGCAGCTCTCGCCGCCTGTCTCTCCCCTGGTATCTCCTCCTCCGCCGTCGCAGTCGTCGCCGCCACAGCAGCCGTCGTCGTCGCACTAGCCGCCGTCGCCGCCGCAGCAGCCGCCGTCGCAGCAGCAGCAGCCGTTGTTGGACTCTGGGGGTGCTGGCTTTGAGGAGGGTGCTAGTCCTGGGGTTCCTGTCGTGGCTTGTCCCGGTGGGCTCGGGGGTGGCACCGGTGCTGGAGAGGGTCTCGCTCTGGGGTGCTCGTTCTGGGGGTACTGGAGTGGAGTGTTCCGGGGGTAGCTGCGGTGCAGCTGGTGGTCCAGTTATTGCTGTCAAGCAGCAGCAGCAGCAGCCGCTGCCGGTGTCCGCCCTTCGCCTGCTCGACCCTCCCTCCCCTGACCGCTCTCCTGCGCCTTCCCCGCCGCCTCCTCCCCTTTCTGTCCTTGGTCCTCTGTTTCCTCCGCCAGACTCGTCCCCACCCCGGTTCCCAGCTCGTTCCCCTCCTTTTACTCCTCCTCTATCTCCTGACCTGACGCCTCCCTCTCACGTCTGGTCTCGCCGTCCCTCTCGTGCTCGTCCTGTCTCTCATGTTCAGCGTTGTCAACCTATGTTGCTTCATTTCCATGCTTCTCGTCCTCCCCTCCTGCCTTCCCCTCCTCCGCCATCGCTCGCTGTCGCGCCTCCCCCTCTGTCTGACTACCTTCGTGCTTTTCGTCCACTTGTTCCTCGGGTCCTTGCCTCCCTTGTTACCGACCCGTCTGTTCCTGTCTGAAGTCTTGACGCTCTTGTCGCTGTTGTCGCTGACTTTGCCTCTACTCGCCGCCTTGACAATGCAGTACGAGCTTGCTTTCTTATCGGAGGCTGCTCCCCATCTCTGTTCCATGCTACTCGTCCCTGAGGGTGACCCATACGCCTTTGACATCCCGACCCCTCACACTTACGCTGAGGCCAACTCGGGACCCTGGGCCTCTCAGTGGATAGCTGCCATGGAGAAGGAGGTGGCATCTTGGAGATCCACCAGCACCTACGTCGACGCAGTTCCTCCACCTAGGGTGAACGTAGTCGATGGCCGGTGGCTCTTCAAGGTAAAGTGCCCCCCTGGAGAGCCGCATGTGTTCAAGGCGCGCTACGTGGCTAGAGGCTTCAGTCAGCGGGAGGGGGTAGACTTCTTTCAGACCTTCGCCCCGACCCTGAAGATGACTTCTCTTCGAGCGCTGCTATACGTAGCAGTACAGCGTAATAACGAGTTCCACTCCCTCGACTTCTCCACTGCTTTTCTTCAGGGAGGCCTACACGAGCAGGTCTTCTTGCGCCGTCCACAAGGCTTCACCGGTACCTTCCCTCCTGGGAACCAGTGGCTCCTCCGGCGCCCAGTGTACGGCCTGCGACAGGTGCCCCGTAAG